GTCTGGAGCTATGACCAAACATGGGTTCCCATGACTGGTTCATCCCCTTCCCTCCTCCCCACTTTGTTGCTTGACCACTTCCCATTTACTGTCCAGCAATTAAACCTCACCCTGTCTTCATTTTCACACCTTCCTATTAACGTTGGTGCCTTTTCTTTCCTCATTCTTTAAAGAAATAACGGGTTAAAAAGAGCAGGTTGTGGAAAAACAAGATGTTAAAAGTTTACAGATGTTCCACAAGAAGGAATCTTTATGGATCGTTTATTACAAACATCAAAGTTCATGCTCAGTAATCCAGGTAAAAAAAAAAAATCCAACAATGTTCAGTCAGGTCGTCTGGATGGTTTCTTTTTTTGTTGAGACGTTTTGTCCTTCATCCAAAGGACTTCATCAGTCCGAGGAGCCACAACAAACTCTGGCACAAGCAGCAAACTCACATAACCAACCAGTTTGCTAGTGATAAGATGGTTTCTGGGGCCTGCCCTCTCCTGTGTCCACTCCTCTGAGGCAGCCATAGTCAAAGTGGTTCAAAACATCAAAGTTCATGTTCAATAATCCAGGTATTTTAAAAAAAAAAAAAAACATCACCAGCAGACTGGTTGGTCCACTATGCGAGTGTGCTGCTTGTGGGACTCAGTTTGTTGTGGCTCCCCGGACTGATGAAGTCCTTTGGATGAAGGACAAAATATCTCAACAAAAAAAAATTAAACTGTCCAGATGATCTGACTGAACTTTGTTGGCATTTATTACAAAGAAAAGTCAAGCAGTAAATCCCAGGAATTAAACGGTTCCAAGGGACAGAATCTGTCTAGTCTAAGATTGTCACAGAGTGTTTTTTTTTTCTTAAATAAGACACATCAGTAAGTTTTAGACAAAGTTCATCATAACTGTAAGGCTATATCACTTATATGACCTAACATCAAAACGTGAACAGACTTTTACTGTATAACAACTCTGGAGCAGCTCATTGAGGACACCTCAGAGGGCCCTTCAGTATTTTTCCACACTAAAAAGGAAGGAAGGAAAGTGAAAGTTAGGAAGGAGAGAAGGTAAAGAAAGGAGGAAGGAAAAAGGGTGCTCAGACTGAGCATAAGACTTCAGTGAAATTTGTCATAAGCTTGTGCAGCTGAGAATCTAATTGAAAGCAAAGCTCCAGATTCAGGATGTGAAATGAAAAAAAATAAAATCACTCAATTTCAGACAAATGAAGGACATACAAGGCAGGACGTCCAAAAACACCAATAAGCATGCTGAAAGTCAGAAAAATGAAAATAAAGCTTGAAAAAAAGGAACATCCAGTACAAAGAAGGATGAAGACAAAACAAAGATAACAACCTGACAGGGAACAACTGAAACACACATCCTGGTAGAAGTCATGACAGAAAGTGGGCAGGTGCAATAAATAAACTAAACTGACCTGGTTAAAAAAAAAATCTGGTATAATAAGACAAACCAGGAAGAGGCTGATGAAAGGAACTTATACAGGATGACATGAAAAATGGCACATAACCACGACAAAAGTTTACATTGTTTGATGCTGCGAGACAATTAAGAGCTAATAATATGTTAAGAAGAAGAATCATAGACACATGTGGAAAAGAGTGAATACAACCAATGGACTGAGCTGATATTTCTCCACTCATATGGAGCAGATCAGATAAATAGAAACTGAAAATAAAAGAAGCTCAGATTGGTCTTCATTTGGACCTTCTGGCTCTGACCCAAACACCGACTCTGCCTCCCATGGGGATAGTAACTCCAGGCTCGAATTCCTCAGCACCATTTAGTGTTTACTTTCAGCCGCAACGTTTTTCCCCCCCTCAAAAACCAGCGCTCATTAAAGAAAACCATCCCAGTGAAACACTGTATTGGTGCATTTTACAAGCAGAGACTCTTCTACACACAAAACCTGATGTGTGCAAGCTTCTTGCACGCTACGCAAAACACACTTCTGCATATGTGCTCCTTCATTTATTGCCTTTAAAACTACAAATCAATGAGTTTTGGTGGGGTACAAGTGGAAAGTTGAGATTTCACATAGAAAAAAAAGTCATTTCCGCTATGTTGGTGAGGGGGTGGGGGTCTGTGAAGGGTCAAACCTTCCACGATCCTCACTGTGCGAATTACATAAACACTCCCTCTTTACTCAGCCCTCACTGCGAGAGACGCACTGAGCTGTTGCACACAGCTCTGTATGATCATGGAGGAATATATTTTCTGTTAGAATTTGTTCCTAAAGCTTCAACGAGCAACCAGGTGAAACAGTTCCGGTTGCCTTTGTGACCACCGTGCATCACTTTGGTGTACTGATTGATCTCTTGTCATGAGAAAATCCCATGTTAGCGCTTCACTGCTGACCACAGATCAAACATACCTGTAAAGGACCTGGATCGTTGTGTTTGTTTTCTCGCACTCCTGTCAGGATCCGTTCCTCTTTCTCACACTGACACACTCATGCAGACACACAGCTAATAGAAAAATCCTGCTCTGATCCCACAGCCCAGGAGGCCTTGATGGCAGAGTTACAGCCACCAGTTTCTGACAAATAATGTACTAGAAGACTGGAGGTTAGACAATCCGGCCTAAACATGAGTCGTTCTTTTAAAGGGATAGTTCAATTCCCTATAGGAGTATAGTTGAGTGGTAAGGTTTTGAATGCACAGTATCTTACCTGTTGGAGATAGCTCTTTGGATTATGACTATGAGCATAAAATCAGACCAGAAATCATGCTAAAGATGCTCAGCGGTCTATTTAGCTTATCATTTGTCATTAAATATGTCAACAATTTTGGCCACCCACAACCCCATTAGAGTTACACTTGGGTCCAAAAAATCCGACTCGACCTGACCTGACCTGACCCCAGCCTGCAGCCATCATATCCAAACCCCACCTGATCTGATGAATTAACAGTAATGACAGGTCAAAACCTGCAAAAAAAATAAAAAAAATAAATAAAAAAAATGAAATTTTTAATTAATCTTAGACTGCTTATAGCACTGACTATTGTTAATGGTGGGCGGACGTGCGTGGCTGAGGGGGCAGAAAATCAGAGCTGAGGAGCCATCAAAGCGCATTAAATGCTTCCTCTGCTTCTGCATTGGACCGTGCTCTGACATGTTGGATATTTTGTGATCTCACCTGTTTGGGCCTCGCATGGGCTGATGGGTCGCTGGAAGTAGTCCATCTGAAGCTTAACTGAACTTTTTGCTTCTTTCAACCGGCCGGTCAGCGTGCAGTCAAATGGCTGTGTGAAGCAAGTATTGTATGACAAGCCATGTTGCCATATAATTGGATTGTCGGCTGCGCGCGTCCCTGACGCAAAATAAAGCCTGACACCGACCCGGCCCGCACATTAAGCATATTATTATGGTCTGGCCCAGTCTGAGTCCGGATCGGGCGGGGCCAGGCTCTGGGTTCGGGTTAGAAATGACAGCTCTTCACCCCATTACTGGCTCGCAGCTCATGAGAAATGCTAATATTTGTACATTGAGTTGCACTGCCATGTTTTCTCGTTGTTTGTTTTAGTGCTGTTCCAACAGTCCAATCTTTTTGTAACTCCATTAAGTATAGGGAGTGAATGTGTGTTCGGTGGGGAGGTCATTGGGCAAATGGGTGCAGATATGATGCTTTCTCTTAGCTGTATGTCATTTTTGTTAATGACAAACATGGATTGGAACATAAAACACGATACTTCTGCACTAAGGTTTCGATGAACATCTTTTCCAGACAACGGTCTTTAAATTGTCCTGCAACGTTAGACCTTTGACTCAACGTGTGCACATTCCTCTGTGTGTTTATTGTAAGTGATACATGATTGAATCTGAACAGCACTCATGCACGTCCTGGCCTGTCTGACTGACCGTTTCATTTTAGGCTCTCAGCGTGTTCATGTGTCAGCATGTGTGAGCTGGCTGACATACATAAATACCACGTGTGTTTAACTACAACACGTTACATGACTGTGCCCGCCTGTAGTTGGTAGAATATTCATGTTTGCTTGTATTGGTGGGCACTGATATTTGTCTGCGATGCTGTTGGATTCATTTCTAGGAGAATAAATTAAGCATTTTTTGAAGAAAGATTATTGGTTTACACTCTGAGTACATGTTGGCGATGACTCTCAGTTACTACCACACTAAATTTCAGTCAGATTTTGACTCCAAAAATTAGTCACAGATAAATATCCTAATATTTTAACTACAATCAGACCTCTCTAGTTTGTGAGATATTTTGCTAACAGACAAACATGGTACTTAATGACAAACTTTTAAACCAAAGATCTTGCATGATCAGTACATGCTCAATATATATGCAGGGAATGACTCTCAGCTACTACTACGCCAAACGTCAGCTCGTTATTTGCACAACTGACTGAGTTATAACCATTTATGTGTTTGCTGAAGTTTGTTACATGTGGTGGACATATTGAATCGGGTTAACTCCAAAATGTTAATCGGCTGTAGAAATATATCCAATGATTAGTTTCTAGAAGGCTCGTTAAATTTATTCCAAGGATTCATGAAATATTTCGCTAACAGACAAATGAACACACAAACAATCGTATCACCCATTTTTCATTATGGAGGACTATAATTATGAAAGTTTCAGATTTCACTTCCTGCCTTCCAAATGTGAACATAATGTCAGTATTTAGTCAGCGCTTCACCTACATGAAAATAAGCTTGACTGGAATCTGAAGTTTAAATTTAAACTCGCAGTCTGGTTTATAAATTATGTGACAGATGGGAGATTTAATCCAAATCCGGTGAAGCAGGTTTACTTACACCAACCTTTTCTGACTGGCCTGCATTGTTTTGCAGGTGCAGTCCATGTCTGGCACGCGCACGCGCGCTCGTGTCCCTGCGCGTTCCTCCCACTCCACGTTTAAGCTCCAGGAGCTCTGCGCTCTGTGGAGCAGTGTGCGCCCTCAGTGCCCGGCGGAGCCGCGTCTTCTGTGTGCGCGCTGCGGTGCCTCGACCCAAAACTCCGACTGGACCCGTGGACCCGAACCCAGCTGCAGTGAAGGGAAACGTTCCTCCACGTTTTGGGAGTTTTGTGACGAGAGAGCAGCGGAGAAACGCGGAGAAAGACTCAAGAGAGAATGCGTTCCAGCAGTCTCTGGACTGCTTCTCCAAAAGGTAAGCTCGTGCGCCTTTTGTTGTGATGTGAAAGCTTTCAGAGGCGTTTTCAGCACACTGGGTGTCATATTAGTCTATAAGTTTCAATTAACAACTTTTCACCCATTTTAATGGGTAAACTGTAAGAAAATCTGTAGATGCTTCATGATCGATCTGGAAGACTTTGGTCAACTTTAACGCATTTGCAGAAGGTTTGGAAACTGATCCATGATCTGCTCCTCGTGCCTTCACATCCACGGCTCTGTATATCCCGGGTCAGGCCCTGGCACGGCTCGGTATCCCGGGTCGGGGTGTGTGAGTGGGACGCACTAAGAGACCGTGATGTTTCCTGCAGAGATGCGGTGTAACCAGGATTAGTTCTTATCTTCAGAGCGCGTCAGGGAGGAATTTCTCGGATTAGAGGCTGTTCTCTGTCCCTCCACGGGTTTTCTTTCTGACCTCGGGTGTTTTTTTTTTTTTGTGTGTTGTTTATTTAGGAAACTTTTTTGTTGCATGATTAATTTGGGACCAGGGTCTCATCATGCCTGCCACTTTCAGGCAGCTGTCCCAAAGTTGGTTTGAACCTCACTGTTCTTGCTTATTTCCAACATTTGCTAGTGTAGTCAATAATGCTGTACATTTTTTTAAAGTGGGTGCTGAACAGGGAGTGACAGAACATGCTTTGTATGTTAGAAAAAAAAAATGCACATCCCAGTTTCTTGGTTGTAATTTTTATTCTGCTTATTTTGTATTTTTTCATTGCTGCACAATAAATGCGTTTAGATTTTTGTCCAAACTGTAATCCTAGAAAAAACATGATTGGCATTTCTCATCATATATGCATTTTAAAGAGTTGTCTATTTTTTTTTTTGTTTTTGCATGCAGCTGTCGTGTCAATAAAATATTTCATGAACCACTGGTTGGAAACTTTCGGAAAGTAACCACTGACTTTACATCAACAGTTTGTAAAGTCCAAATGGCCATAACGCAGTCAGTTTTACAGATATATAGCTAAAGTTTGATGTTGTAGTAGCTGAGAGTCATCCGCAACACATAGTTTGAGCGTTAGTAGTTTTTCTAAACTCTTGGAGTATTGCACTTAATTCACAATGTTTGTATTCTGAAATCCAATCTTCTGACAAAATGATTTTACTTTAAATCTCTGCTGTAAACGGTAGCGGATGATGTGCATTCCTCCACAGACTTTTAGACTTTTAATTATAGTTTTAATTTGAGTCTGGGCTTCACAGTTAGAAGTATGAGCCAGTTTTGTATGCAGACTGCTGCTTTTTGATTTGTTATAATAACAATGGTCATTTTACAGCTTGGTGTAAAATGCTATATCAGTGCAGTCATGACCTGCGATTCAAACTATAGTTACATTGATGCTACTTCAGGTTCAGGTGAGATATGAGCGAGGATTGCAGACAAACATGACGAGCTTGCCTCAAGTGAAGGAGTTCAAATATGGTTTTGTTTATGAGGGAGGGGAAGAATGGATTGTGAGATTGACAGATGCATCAGTGCAACTTACACAGCATTGCAGATTCTGTGCTGGTCCATTGTGGTGAAGAGGCAACTGAGCTGCAAGATGGTGTGTGTTACCACCCTCACCTGCGCTCACAAACTCTGGGTAGTGACTGAAAAGACGAGACTTCAGACACAAGAAGTTGAAATGAATTTTCTCTGCAGGGTAGCTGGACTCTCCCTCAGAGACAGAGACAAATCCGGTTATCCAGGAGAGGCTCGGAATAGAGCCGCTGCTCCTCCTCGTGTCCAACTGGAAGCAGAACCAGGACACACTGGCCTGGGAACGACTTGAAGTCCTCCTGGAAGATGTGGCTGTCGAGAGATGTCCAGGCCTCCCTGCTCAAACTGCTGCCTCCACCACCCGACTAAGGAAGAAGTGGAAGATATTGGGTAGATGGATGGATAGACAAGGAGCTTGGTTAAAAAAAAACAACAACAAAAAAAAAAACTAAATATTTAATAAAGAAAAATAAAATTAAAATTAAAAACACAAAGGCTGAGATGGCAGCAATTACTATACAACTCAAGGAGACACCGAGGAGAACCATATCAGGCATGAAACACCAGACTGCAGGTGAGATGAAGACTGGGAGACTAAATGGACTGATGAGGAGATGGTAACACACATCAGTTGAAGGTACAGACAGGACGGAGGAGCAGATGTTGACTGAGGAAAAGGACTGAAAACACAGAAAGGCAGAAAACAAGATTCAAGGTTCTTTATTGTCATTCACATCACATGCGGTACGTGAGGTGGAACGAAATAGTGTACTCAAGTTACACCCCAAAATAGCAATAATATAAAGTTTATTCCAAAAAGAAGAAACAGTATACAAGGATCTACGCTAACAATGATAATATAATATAATATGATTCGGTGTATTAAACAGCAGCCTGAACATGAGCCTGTTGTGAGCAGATGATATGAATACAGCAGCTTATTGGTAAGAAATCAGCAGCATGGATAATCAGCAGCAAATAAACTTAGAAAATAGACATCTCTGAAAAAAACAACAACGAGGTATCTGAAAGAAAACACAAAGAATATCAACATTAAAGAAAAACATCTGGAATCCAAGATCGTGACACTTGCACACTATCCCCGTTGGGACATATTTCTGCAGGGAGTTATGAAAGCATTTTACGACACAAATACAGATTTCTTTCTGCTTCATTCAAGTCTAGACTTTTAATGCGTGCAGTTTTATTGGTAATATATTTAGACAATCCCAAAAGAACGTCTGCGGTGCACGACTGAGCTTTCATGTTAATCAAACCAGGCAGCGAACTGCGACCTTCTGCCTCTACCTTTTTATTGGAACTTGCTGCTGAATGAACAGGAGTTTCAAACAAATCCAGCGAGGAAGATGAGTTTGGGAAAAGCAAAGAAAGGTGAGGATTCTGGGGTGGACCCAGAGTGTCCGTACGGAGAGAACGAATCAAACATTCCTGCCTCCGTGTCTCAGCAATTTAATTAAAGTTTTATTTAATTTTCTTTTTTTTTCTTCTTTTTTGTGGGATGCTGCAGTGAGCACCTCGAGGTGAAGGCTTAAACCCCCCCCCCCCCCCCCCCCATGTTTTCAAAGTTAGTCTAATCCCGAGGGTCAGCTAATAAGTGTTCGGGTCATGCCACCATGACAACTAAACAGGACAGAACGTCAAGCAAAGCTCACCAATCAGGGAGTTAATAACCCCATGAGGGAAGTTAAGAGCTCCAAGATGAGGAGGATAAAAGTGTGTGTGTGTGTGTGTGTGTGTGTGTGTGTGTTAAATTTCATTTGTCATCCAGCAGCAACTAAAAGCCCCTCCTCTCTGTGGTTTTTAAGTGTGCCTGTGTCGCTCTGTCACACACACAAACACACACTCTCTTCCCTTCAGGTCAGCTTTCGGTCACTGTGTCACATTTGACATCTGCTTCCTCGAACATGTCGCGATTTTTATTTCCATCACTGCTTCGGCGCAGCAGTGTTCTCAACTTTCATCGTGTGTCCTTCTCTGGTACCACTCTCCAATATGGCTCCCCTTACAGATGGCTAATAAGTAGTTTATAGATACGTTATTAATTCCTCTATAAACACTTTATAAATCATTAAAAACTGCTTATTATGCATTAATTAAGGGCAAAAAGTAAGTATAAGTATCTATAGTTGTAGATACTTATAATGCAGTGATTAAGTACAATATTATATCCTTAAAAATGGTTTTAAAATGCTTTTTTTGCTCACAAGGTCTGAAATGTTTAATTTAACAACTCTAGATAAAATACATGGGTGAACAGATTTGGCTCACAATTTGGCAAGAAACGTCAGTTTTGTCTCTGTCACCCTTAAACAATGCATAATAAGCGTTTTTTTTAATGATTTTTAAAGTGTTTATAAAGAAATAAATAACATATCTATAAATTATTAGCATCTATAAGCGAAGCCTTGTTGTGAAGTGGCACCCTTTCTCTTGTAGCTGTCAACATTGTCTTATTAAACGCTATAATTTTTTTAATCCCACGCTTTTCTTGAGCTTGACTGGACTTTTTTGGTTTTAGGCTCATTTCCAGTTTCACCTTGGATCATTTTTTTTCTCTAGCTCTTCTCAGTTTTAATTTTTTAATCTTTGCTTTCTGTTGTTGGAATTAAATATAACTTCCAACAAAGTTAAGTCAGGTCCTCTGGATGATTTCTTTTTGTTGAAACATTCCGTCTTTCATCCAAAGGACTTCATCAGTCTGAGGAGCCACAACTAACTCACTCCCACAAGCAGCACACTCACATAGTGGACCAACCAGTTTGATGGTGATAAGATGGTTTCTGGAGCCCGTGGCTGCCACTGACGAGTCGATGAGGGAGAGGGTGGACTCCAGAAACCATCTCATCACCATCGAACTGGTTGGTCCACTATAAAATAATAATGTGTTATTGTCATCATTGTATGTGAGTGATGGGACTGAGTTTGTTGTGGCTCCTTGGACTGATGAAGTCCTTTGGATGAAAGATGAAACGTTTCAACAAAAAAGAAACCGTCCAGAGGAACTGACATGACTTTGTTGGATTTTTTACCTGGATTATTGAGCATGAACTTTGTTGTTAACTTGTATGTAAGTGCAGAATGTCACTAAAACCATGCACAATGAAACTTCTGCAAAACATTTAACTCAGAGGATATCTGTGTTTGATTACCCTAACATTGTTCAGGAGGCGTGTTTCCTTCTGAGCTGAGTTTAAATGTTGGATCTTGGGTTTGAACACATGGTCACAGTCAGTTGACTTTTTATTATCGTCTCTTGCTGAGGCGATAATAAAAGGCGGTTTTTCTACACCTAAAAAGGCAACTTTTCCTCCATCCTCCATATAATTCTGTGTGCCTCCCTCTATGTTATTTATTTATTTTATTCTGTGCAGAAATATGAGCATAAAGATCTTTTCTAATGACCATTTGACAACATTTGGAGAAGCAGTGATCAAGAACTAAGCCACTAAAAATATGTGTTATCTATCTAT